AAAGAGGCCCCGGGAAGCCTACCATTGGCAGACTTCATTTCAGCTGGTGGTAAGTGGAGGGATGAAGTCAGATGCAAACTAACGGACCCCATTCCGTTTATTGCGATCAATGCCACACCCAAACCATGAGGTAAAAGTACACACCACGTTGAGTATAGAAGGCAGATGTATCAAAGTCCGACATGTATGCCGCGGGGGCTGCTTCCTCGCATCAGAAAATATTCACAAAGAGATACAATGACAGTATATATTCGGGATCCTTCGCGATCGCGATCGTGCGGGCGGCGCTGCGCTGAGTAGTACTGGTGCAGGCATAGCGCAGACGGCGCTAGATAATCAATTAGCCGGCAAAGAAGGAATCAGTCAAGCAGAGACTTACTCTGAAAGGTGTACATGTGAGACTGGGGAACGTGTAAGGGGCGACAAAAACGCATCCCCACGATCGAGAACCCCAGCCTCAGAAAACCCGCGATACTGCGCTGCTTCTTCGAGCCCCAGGAATCCTCCACCTTAACCGCGTATCCTCGGTGCGCAGCATACAGCTTTTCGGTGAGAGACTAAGGGATTGGCCCAGAGTGTCTCGGATGGCGATGGAGCGCAGCGCATGTCCGTGGATGTTGGCGGCACAGAGCACCTTCGACACTGGTGGCTTCGCAAGATTGAGGGCAGGGGTTTCTTTCCCTCCTGCAGATCATTTAGAGCTCTTCGGCACGGTTTTCGAACGGCCGGAGCTTCGACGTCGTCGACGGTGTCAAAAGGTCAAGTTGCTCCAGCTGGGGAGCCTCCGAAGTTTCCTGATTTCCCTCAATTCCCTGCAACTTCTCGTTGAATGACGTCCGGGAAGAAACGGGTAAGCAAGCCTGATGAGTTGGAGGAGGAAAAGCAAAGAAGAGGCCCGTACCGCACATGGGACGCTGCGAGGATAGCTTAGCGAATGAGTGAAACAAAACATGCAAGACCAACCTTCCCGACGACCAGTCGACGGTGCATCCCAGTACGTAAGATGGCTCGCGCACGCCCATCGTCTTCTACGCCGATGTACATCTCCTTGAGAAGCCCCAGTCGATAGTGCATCCCAGCACATACGATGGTTCGCGTGCGCCCATCATCTTTGTGCCCCGAGTTAACCAGGTCCGTGCCCATCGCCTTGCGCGGCCCTCAGTCGTTAGTGCATCCCAGCACGTACGATGGCTCTCGCGCACGCACATCATCTTGCGCACCGAGTTGACCTGGCCCGTGCACATCGCCTGGCTCGGCCAGTCGATTGTGCATACTAGCACGCAGGATGGCTCTCGTACACGCACATCATCTTGCGCGTCGAGTTGGCCCGTACACATTCCTTGCGCGGCCCCCTCCGTCGATAGTGCATCCCAGCGCGTATACGATGGCTCGCGCACGCACATCCTCTTGCGCGCCGAGTTAATTGATCAATTTTGATTGTAGATAATCTGCGGAAACATTGCGAGTGAGGAGATGTGAAACGGGGCAGACGGAGAACAAACCGTGAATGAGGATTCAAGCCAAGTAAGAGCCCGGGTAGACAGGTCTTCATCACTGGCAGCGTCGCTGCGTCGCTGCGTTCCGAGTCTTGCACCATCCGTGGCCCCCAGCTATATATCAGCCCGAGCCAGACGCGCGGCACTACCGGCTGCTAGGCACAACGGGGACGAGAGGATGTGGTTCGTTGCTTCAAGGCTTTGTCCTTGTATACTGATTTCCACCTTCCACCTGTAGTCGGTGCATCTGTGGCTGCGTTTGTTGCTTGTCCTTGTGTACGGATTTCCACCTTCCACCTCTGATCGCTAAACCTGTTGCAACTAGTCACTTGCAATTGGGCACCAGGCATACCACACTGGCAACCAGGAAACTAAAAAACTCTCGTAAGGGAGAGAAGGCAGCTTCATATGCTTCCTGCACGACTATTACGATACATGAACAGTACAAAACAAGGTAGAGGATGCACATCCAACTTCAATTTCGATTTACTGGAAACTCACCGAGGGGGGGTAACACTCAAGAAAGAGACTCGGACAAGAAGAACAATAAAACCGGGCTATATGGTCAAGAAGGTCGGAGTACGCGTACAGGTGATGGTAAGAGACAAGAACGATGTGAGTAGTCAGTCAGTAGTAAACGCGTCAACGAGTTTACTTTTACGTGTTCAAGTTCGATAGTTAGAACACCCAACCTCAAGGAGGTTACTGAAGGTCAAAAGGCAAGCCCGCCGTACAGCACTGGCACTAGAGCACTGCCGTTCAATATTTGTCTTTAGATGGCGATTAAGGCTGTCCTACCGAGCCAAAGCCGTCATGATCACGGTACATCCCACACATAATTCGCACAGCTCCGGGCTAGATTTTGCATAACACTACAGTACAAACATTATTCTTAATTGCTGGTACTTCACCGACCAATCCATCTTCTAAAAGCATCAAACTCATCAGTCCCTTCGAGGTTTCGTTTCGCTAGCTCTGCAACAACCCGCTTGATTTGTGAATCACTGTTGGCGTCCTGCATGGGTTGGTTCACACGATGAAAGGCTTTAAGAACTTCGAAAGCCCTTAGAAAATTGTCAGTAAGATATACTGTAGGCCCCAGTGCATTGACTTACTCGTCGATTCCCCGATCAATCTGTTGCCACATCAGGTGTGATCCAATGGACCACATGTACAACCCCTCAATGTCATCAGCTAGGTTCTGAGATTGACCAGGGCCAGCCAGCTTGAGTACTGGTGCTATGGGTAAATGTGCCTTGGCCTGGCCCTTATTCACAACTTTATTCACGTATGCCGCCAAGTCGCATGGTAGAAGAACTGGAAATCGAATGTCGTGGGTGCTGTCCAGTAAATCGTCCAGGCTTGAGGCATACGTCATGCGTTGAGCATCCTTCAATGGATCATGCCAGTCTACGCCTTGGTTTAATAGACGTCCTGGATCTTCATCGGTCGCAATCCAACCATCGACCTCCGCCCGGTTAGATCGATTTATATGAGCTTTAAGACCTTCATGACTAAATAATTCGTCCCATTTATACCTATGATCATCAATACTGGGACCATAATTGGAAAAAAAAAATTACGAAGGGTGGCTCAAGGCATTGCTTGGGGTATCCTCATACTGGTAAAATAAAAATAAAAATCGAGTGGGAAGGTTGTTGTTAAGGATAGTACCGTATCTTCATAGGACATATGCGCCCAAAGTGATTCCCCTGTGCTATACCATGTAAACAAAAAAACAGAGGAAAGGGAGCTAAAACACCTTACTTGATGTCTTGGAGTTGTTCAATCTCCCAATAGGCTACATGGCGCATGAACAATGTGAAGTATGCCAGACAACTTTGGCGAATTTCCGAATCGTCCAGATCAGAGTAACGGAAGGGACTGCCTCCACGTAAAGATACATCGGCGTATCTTTGTTTAGTCCAGGAACGAGCTTCAGCACCCAACTTTGCTGGATCCACTGTATTAGCCGTGGAACGGGCCAAAGATTCCATGTAGGATGGAAGAAAATATATCCCATAGCCCTACAGGACGGTGTGAGGAGAGGAACGGAATTCAAAAGCGTAGACGGAGAACTTTGTTGGCGTATTTGAAGACTCTATATCAATCAAAGGTCAATAACATTACTGCGTATCTAAATGCAACACCTGCCGTTGCGGTTGACTCGCACGACGCTCCGAAAGATAGTGGCCATGTATTAGATTCATGGTGAAAAGATTACGCCCAGCTGCTCGGCAATTGGTTAGGGTATGAACATATGTCTAACAAGGTGTAACATACTCTCGAGAGCTCGAGCAGCCCTGGGAAGCATCAAAACCTCGCTTCCATTCCACCCAATGGAGCATATATCGAGATCAAAATTGAGGAGGACGTCCTTGGGCGAATTGACCAATTTCAGGACTATCTGAATGCGCCTGAGGGGATACTGAGCATAAAAGGTGACAGTTTTCGAGTTCTTAACGGCAATGGAAGGTGTTCCAAGAGGCAGATTCGACTGGAAAATGTCGTAGACATGTTTCATCTTGTTTGTCGCCTCCAATGAAGGCAACCCGTAAACGTAGATGTCAATATCAGACGACTCCCACAGTTTCGTCGAGTTTTGAGCTATCGCCGGGCGATCGACAGAAAGTAGAGCACCGAGTACTATGCCCCCGGCAACGAAGAGGTTATTCCAATCCACATTCTTGAGCAGTCCGTCCGACATGCGATTAAAGGTTTCCTCGAAGGCTTGGGTGGAAGCTTGTATGGTGATTTTCTCCGCGCGGGAATTGCAAAGAACCTCGAAGTCAGAAAGGGATTTCGGTCGCACCAATGTACGGCCAGAGTTTGCTACATCAGATTCAGGGAAAATGATCTCGGCATCCTGTAGTGTGACTAGTCCTCGAGTGCCATCCACGTCTCGTAGCCAGTTTTCATTCCGAAGGATCCTGGGTATTGATAAGCCTCGACTCAGTGTAAAGAGCGCAGAAACACCCTCACCATTCGTCAATCTCAGAGGACGAGTACGTCTTATCGTCGGCAAGCCGAAGCGCGTTGCGACGAAATATAGTATACGGCATCCTAGTCCAGTTCCATAGGTGATGTCCGAGGATGGTGAGATTAATAGTCTCCATCTCCTTGGCCACTTCGTCCCCGGCACCCATTACTTCTGCCGCCAAATCCACCAAAGTTGGAACATTCTTGCGCATACCCAAGTCGCGGGAAAGGTAGTGGTTGTGGGCACGGACATGATTCTTGATTGTGTCGCGGGCCAGTTTCGAGGAGTTTCCCCAAGTGGCATTCTCAGTGGGTTGGGGTGAATCTCCACTACTGGTCGACATGGCCAGGGAAGAATCGATGAAAGACTGAGAGGCGGGAGGCCGTTCCGGTTACGTCGGTGATCTCCTGCCGGGCTTCAGACAGACGTTATAATTATTTCAATAAAGGGTAGAATACGAGATCGATTAGAAAGTACTATGCAACTAATCGTTCTTTCTACGATCATGAATCAAGAAGGAGGACGGCCTGGTAGTGTAACGGTAGCACGCCCGCTTTCAATTAGAAGGCGTCGACTTATAAAGCGGAGATTCCCTGTTCGATTCGGGGTCAAGCCATCATCCGTCCAACGTGAGTGGGTGTTTTTATTTCATTTTATATTTGGGTTCTGCATTTTATAATACTTCGTTCGCTCACCGAAATCTTGTAATTTCAAAGACAATGTAGGTTACATTACATGCTAGAAGTTGAACGGGAAGTTGGGTCCAGAATTCGCTTTGCCCACGGCGAATCCCCGGGACTCGCAATGCGTTGGCGAGCTCGGAATCCACCAACAAGCTGTGGAACCGCTTGTGTCTACTCAAAGTCGCCAAATTGTCACCGTCCGTACATGTAGTACTGTACTACAAGTAAGTCTACAAAGGATCCCTGTATCATCGGCTCCCGATCGACCACGGTTAATTAACAGTATACTACGTCCCTTGCGATTCTCGGAGCTTGGTTCGTGCTGGTAGTATACATACTTGAAGGAATCCCTGTTTAGGTAGAAGAGGGAGTTAATAATAGAGGCTGTCGGGCGTTATTCAATGAAAAGCAGGGAAGGCGACGCTGATACCCGGGGGAGAAACAAGCAGGCATGATACGCCGTGAAGCCACTCACCTTCAGGCGCTCAGCCCCTACGTTCGCTGTTCGTTCGTTGGGCGTTTGCGAAACCGGTCTGTCCCGGAATCTTTGAGCAGCGCTCGTAACTCCGTGATTGTGGCTTGATCCTGCTGACGCTTTTCAAGCAGTTTTGAAAACCGTTTATTGGACTCTTCGAGGCCACTGGCTGCTTCCTGAAGCCTACTCTTTACTTTTTCGAGTTTAGCATTAAAAAATGTGGCCGCAGCGCGGTCGCGGTCGCGTTCATCGATTACATTGGCGAGCTTCGTCTCCAAGGCAGCGATGGACGCATACTGGTCGTCGCGCTGTCCAACAACTTGCTTGTGCAAAGTTTGGAGCTCCTTGCACTTGGACTCGGAAGTCCGCAATTCTTGTTGAACAACTGCCATGTCGCGAACGGCGTGATCCCGCTCCTTCAGAGCGTCGAGCGTGTTTCCAACCTGGTCAACAATAGCACCTTCCAACCGTCCCATTCCCATGGGGTCGGTTATGTCGCGTTCGTACGCTCTTTCGCATGCGCGGAGTTCCATGAGCTTGAAAAGTTTCTCCATGGCTTTGGCTTCGGCGGTTTCTTCTCCGTCGCCTTTCTCTTTACCGTACCAGGCAAGAGCAAGGTGTTCCAGGTATGAGGAACAGGTCGTGCAGTCGTCCAGTTCCTCGCAGGTCGGCACGCCGAAATCTTCGTCAAGGCACCAGTCCAATCCCGAATGACAGATCTCGGATTCTAGCTCCTCCTCCGCCTGGGTGTCTAAACGCGTGACAAGTTCAAGCGGCTTGATGGAATACGCGCTCATTGGCGCAGGAAATTGAGGTGGTCGTTCTTTCCCATGAACCTGGATTGGATAGCGGGACCGGAGGGGCATGGTTTAAACTCTAAGAGAAATCCAGAAGTAAACTAGAAACTCGACGCTCGGCAGCTTCAAAATTACCGGGTAACGTCGTGAGTTCTGGGCCAGGCTCTGGCGAGCGGATGGAAGCTGGGGGGTGAGATGACGTAAGCGTTAGCTTTCAACCATATCATGATCAACGCTTCCGGGTCACCAGTACTGCGACTGCGTCGAAACATACAGTGGCTACTTCATTTCACAGACGAAACAACTCACAAAGGTCTACCCGGTATTATCATTCTGTATAGTGAACGTTGATCGCTGATCTTCCAGGCGATTCTGCGACAAGTTGGAACATGTCCCTCCACCACACCTCTTCCCCACACCCCCACTGCGAGCTCCCTACGGAACGTGATTTAAAGCCCGCGCGGAGATCAAAAGAACGACCAGCGGGAAACCCTGCTCGAATGAACACCTATTCCACTGAACCTGTGAAACTCGTTGCTCGTTCATACACACCAGCGGAACAGACCCTAGACGCTGAAATCCTACAATCCGGGATAAAATGGCAGATCGACGACGACCTGGGTGTACCTTACTGCGAGCCATTGGATGAGTGCGACACCTGTTTCGCATATCTTGACCACCTCGGTATAGCTCGGTATGGTCCCAACACCTAATAATCCCAAATATCCACTCTAATTAGGGAGGGGAATAGGGTGTACATCCCCTCCCCAATTAGAGGTGATTCAGGCAAATCCCCACATGCTGCAGAATATGCTGCAGATATGCTGCAAATATGCTGCACATACACTGCAGCATATGAGGCAAAGGACTTGGGTGATTTTTTTAAATATTCCCTTATGTAATACCGCTCTCCGCGGCCCCCGCCGCGCCGTCCCAAAAAGGAAACTCAGCCAAGAAAAACAGATTTTATACGGTAGTGAGCTATTACAAGGTAAAGAGGGCCAGGAAAAAAAATACGAAATCTTGTGAGCTACGTAATCAAAAAAACAACGGGTATACGCCACACCAGACCACAGAGCCTCAAACAGGAGGTGGAGCGATACGTCTTCCGGGAGGACCACCCGCCTTCGCCCTAATCACATTGGGACGGGGCGGGCCTGCAGCCTTCACCTTCGGCGGCGCAGTCTGGGCAGCGGTCTCCGCGGCGGTGGCCTGGGCGGCACCGGTCTGCGAGGCAGCGGCAGTGGTCTGCGCGACGCTGGCGGTCTGCGCGACGGTCTGGGCGGCGGCACCGGTCTGTGAGGCGGCGGCGGTGGTCTGCGCGACGCTGGCGGTCTGCGCAATGGTCTGGGCGGCGGCAGTCTGCGTGGCGGGGGCGGCGGTCTGGGCAGCGGTGGTCTGCGAGGGGGCGGGAGACGATGCGGAGGGCGGGGTCGCCATGCTCTTGTAAACGCGCCTCGGCTTTGGCCTCTCCCCTGCAGGGGTGTGGGTCGGAATGGGGTTGCTGCTCGACGCGCTCTTCGACGCGCTTTTCGCGGGCGCCTGCCTCTTCTTCGCCGGTCTGTGGTCGCCCTCGTCATCATCCTCCGATGCGCGCCTGCGCTTACCGGCGCTTGCCCCCCCGTCCTTGCGCGTTGCGCGGCGATTGTCATCCGCGGTGCTTGGCGTCGCCTTCTTGCGTTTGGCGCCTCGCTCCTCGTCGTCCGCGCTTGGGAGCTTGCGCTTGCGTTTCTTCTCCTGGGCTTTGCCCTCACCACTCGGGGCCTTACGCTTGCTGGGGGCCTTCTCCACCTGCGTCTTCTTCGCCTTGACCAGGGCGAGCAGCTTCTTTCGAATTGCTTCGCCCCGCCCACCTTTCCCTGCCGACAGCCCCTCCTCATCGCTCTCGTCTTCCTCCTCGCCGCCATCGTCCTCCTCGCTCGACTCGTCCCGGGCCGCCTTCTTCGTCACCGCACGCTTCGACTTCTCCCTCGTAGTGCGCGCCACCTTGCGAGGCTCTTTCGCCTTCCGCACTTTTTCCGTCGCTTCGCCATTCGCCACCATCTCCTTGAACTGCGCGACCAGGCGCGACTTCTCTCCGGGGCTGAGGACCTTCCAGTGACAATCCCCGCTCCTGAGAGCGTCGCGCAGGGTGCGTAGCGGCCCGATTGCGGACTGCTTCGACATCCGCTTGAACTCCACACCCTTCGGCCAACCCAGAAGCCCCAGATTTTTCCCTTCCACCAACGCCTTGATGTAGTTGTCGTAGTTCATCGCGATTTTCGTCTTCCCCGCGGCTGCAACTGCAAGAAATATAAGAAATATGTGTTAGTACCGTCGTCTCTCTAAAGGCGGCGCGGGGGACACTTACGGAGGCCAGTTTTGATCATCTCCGTACACTGCTTCTGCATTCCGAGCAGCGTGTCGGCCCCCGTGTTCCCTGGGCGACATGGATTAGCAGGAAATAAGAAAGAAGGGAGATGAGTAAAACGCACCTCGCTCGCGATTCACCGCCCATAGCTCAAACAGGGCGCTGACGTCGGCGGGGTCCTTCTTCAGCATCTCGCGAAAGAAGTCGAGGGCCCCCCAGGACTCAATGGTCACCGGTACGGAGGTGTCGTGAAGATGGCCGCGGGTGAACATTGCGAATCCTATCATCCCCGCACGCTCCGCGAGGCCCGTGATCTAAACGTGAAATGAGCGTCGCGTGCCACAACTGTAATGTACCGACGTACCTCAGCGATCATATGCTGTATCGTACGCCTCGCGTCCGCCGCTGCCGCGAGATTGTTGGCGCGCGCCCCGTGGTGCTTGCGTGCGCGCTTCGCGAGGACCTCCTTGACCATCTCCGCCTCCTCCTTCTCCGAGAAGCCCTCGAGCATGGAAGGGTCGGCCTTCGCCATTTTCTTGACGTCGCGCATGTTGTACCGACTTCCAACGTCGCGGTCTAGACAAAACGCTGGGTAAGGTAACAACTCGCATTGGGCAGGAAGACGTGCCTTCATTCAGGCTCGCCATAACCGCGGAGATCTTCGCGTTGTAAAGGCTTACTTTGCGGCTGGTTTTGAAGGTCGAGGAGGCGAGCATGCGCCGGCGCACTTCTTTGACCTTGACGCCGTGCTTTTCCGCGAGTTCCAGTGCACGCTCCTCGCGCTCCGCGTCCCCGCAAGGTCCCGCATCTTCGACGACTTCTCGCTGCGCCGCTTGACTGCCGTTGCGCGAACATTTGTCCCGTCTGCTTTGCGCCTGCGTTTGCGGATGGGAATCACCGCCTTCGCGCGGTTGCGACTGCGGTGTGTCGAACTCCCGAGCCCAGGAAGCTCGTCCACCCATTCAGGGTCGTCGTTGTCGGGTTCCAAGTCCACGATGCGGCGTGGATCGTCGTTTTCGTCGTCAGAGGCCATTTTTTGAGGTAAGCTCGTCGAAGTTTGTTGAGGCAAAGTATGTCGGCGTGTTTGGTCCGGCACGTGCCGCCGCATGGCAGAAACGACCCGGACCCGTGTCGGTCTTGAAGGCATTCAGGAAAAAAAGGAGAGCGTCGCCGCAGGAAGGAGGAGAGAGAGAAGACATGCGTGTGAAGCGGAGCGGTGATAGGGAGGAGGTTTACGGCGCCACTTACGGCCACCTAAACAAAGAGAGCGTATTCATAGACAATGTGACTGTCAACCTTCAAATACGTTGA